GGAGATAACACACATCACCATCCGAGAGAACACACATCACCATCCGAGATAACACACATCACCAGAAGAGAGAACACACATCACCAGAGGAGATAACACACATCACCAGAGGAGAGAACACACATCACCATCCGAGAGAACACACATCACCAGAGAGCACACGATAAGCACCTCTGGAGGAACTGTGCCTTCCTGAAGTCTTCATCGCCATCATCATCATCATCCACCAGCAACAAAGGGCTGTTCTGACGCAAATCTTCTGATTCATCAATATGTCCACATATTAAAAATCCAATATTTTGTGTTCTTTTAACAACAAATTTTAGCATTTACCATAATAATATATAACAAATTATTCTATTCCATTCACCTTTTCATTATTCTGAGTACCAGCAGTATTTGTCTGCAAGTGAAACATTTCAATTGGATGGTTTTCATCTGGCCAGTTTATCTCTTTTGCATTTATGAAAATGACTAACCTGAGAGTCTACCGATGACACGTCACTCCTGCACACATGACTCACATACACACACGCTTAATTAACGATTGTGTTAACTGTGGAGGAGAGAGCACTCATGAGTGAATTCATCAACACTGAGGTTTAGGAAAGACGTGTGCGAGAAATAAAATGCAAATATGATCAGGGATGGAAGAAGGCTGCCAACAACACAACATCGGTCGACTTCTGAGTAGACTCATGTTTATCCATGTCTAACAACCCTAGATAACTAACCCAAAGAAGTCATGGTTATTGCTAAAGCAATGCTCTCTTCTTCTGAGACTGAAACACACTGTGAACATTTCTACAACATATGAACGGCACAGTATACTTAAGATCATTTCCAGTGAATGAATCCCTCCTGTTGAAACTGAAAGAGCTCCGCCTCTGCATTCTGATTGGACGAGACAGATTATTATTCTTCATAATCTAGTCTTATTTTTAGAGAGAACGAGTGATGTCTAATAGACAGTGCTTGACATGCAGCGCTCCGACTCGATCATATTAATAATAATTCATTACATTTATATAGCGCTTGTCTGGGTCCTCAAAGCGCTTCACACAGAAGGTTCTCCACACACACCGCCAGTGTGCTCTTGGGCCCTAGAGTGTCCCGTCACTGGGGCGTTAGGACCCACACCGACCCCAGGGTGAGCAGCGCCCCCTGCTGGCCTCACCGACACCTGCTGTCCCAGGAGTCTCTCAGCGGGAGACCAGTCTGGGCTACTGGGAGACACGCTGCTCATGATTATTACTGTACTACTGTGTGGATGATGGGAATAGCGCACACACGCACACACACACACACACACACACACACACACACACACACACACACACACACACACCCAGAGAAGAGTTACATCAGTTCCCTGTCTTGAGAAGCACTGCTTCCTCTTCCTCATTATAGGCTCTCTCAGATGATTCCCTATCCCGTCAGGAGCCCTTTATAGTGTGTGTTCAGGGGAAGTGATGTCACACTCACAGCCTAACTAGTGACCATGGACACACACACACACACACACACACCTCTCCACCAGCTGTCTCCAGCGTTTGGCCCACTCGCTCAGCTGCTGAGAGTAGCTCTTCTCGATGCTCACACACACACACACACACACACACACACACCTCTCTCCACCAGCTGTCTCCAGCGTTTGGCCCACTCGCTCAGCTGCTGAGAGTAGCTCTTCTCGATGCTCACACACACACACACACACACACACACACACACACACACACACACCTCTCTCCACCAGCTGTCTCCAGCGTTTGGCCCACTCGCTCAGCTGCTGAGAGTAGCTCTTCTCGATGCTCACACACACACACACACACACACACACACACACACACACACACACACCTCTCTCCACCAGCTGTCTCCAGCGTTTGGCCCACTCGCTCAGCTGCTGAGAGTAGCTCTTCTCGATGCTCACACACACACACACACACACACACACACACACACACACACACACACACACACACACACACACACACACACACACACACACACACACACACACACCTCTCTCCACCAGCTGTCTCCAGCGTTTGGCCCACTCGCTCAGCTGCTGAGAGTAGCTCTTCTCGATGCTCACACACACACACACACACACACACACACACACACACACACACACACACACACACACCTCTCTCCACCAGCTGTCTCCAGCGTTTGGCCCACTCGCTCAGCTGCTGAGAGTAGCTCTTCTCGATGCTCACACACACACACACACACACACACACACACACACACCTCTCTCCACCAGCTGTCTCCAGCGTTTGGCCCACTCGCTCAGCTGCTGAGAGTAGCTCTTCTCGATGCTCACACACACACACACACACACACACACACACACACACACACACACACACACACACACACACACACACACACCTCTCTCCACCAGCTGTCTCCAGCGTTTGGCCCACTCGCTCAGCTGCTGAGAGTAGCTCTTCTCGATACACACACACACACACACACACACACACACACA